GAGACGATGTAACCTAGCCATAAATAACAAAATAATAGAACAAGTAATGGAAACTGAATACTTAAAAATAAAACTGTCAAGCTACGGAAAAGTGGAAGAAGAAGTACAAAAACAAGTGAATATGGCAAACAGAGCAGCAGGATGTCTCAATAACACAATCTGGAGAAACAAATACCTCACAACGGAAACGAAAACCAGGATATATAAATCAACAATAAGACCGATAATGACGTACACAGCGGAAACAAGAGCAGATACAGCAAAAACACAAAGACTGCTGGAAACAACAGAAATAAAAGTCTTACGAAAAATCACAAACCAAACTCTAAGAGACAGAGTAACAAGTAAGGAAATACGAGCGAGATGTGGTATGGAGGAATGGAATCGACACATCGAAAGAATGACATAAAATAGAATAGTAGGAATAGCAAGAGACAAATCGCCAAATGGAAGAAGATCATTGGGACGACCGAGGAAAAGATGGTCAGACAACGTCAATTGAGGCTAAAAACCGAAGTAAAACATTCAATAAGCCTATTTATAAAGTAGGAAGAAATAGAAGAAGATACTTGTACGTCACAAATGAGAGGAGTAGGCAGATTGCGACCCCGAACTCGAACGGAACCATATTCTTCTTGACAATGGTTTCAAAATAGGTGCCGAAACCTCGAGTTTTAAATTCTCAACGCGGTTCTTCCCGTAAACTTAGAAATTTTTATTGTGGTATTTTCGGTACAAGAGTACAACAATATATGTGTGGTAAATGAGAAGATTCATTTTTAAAACCAACAGCAATTATATATACAAGCGACGTTCCTACAGCCTCTGCTGTCTCTCGCATTTCGACCGCCATCTTTTTTTTTGTCCATCCATTCGTCTGCTTTCATGGCTCTATCTCTCATGATGTGTCGTACATTTTCTTCTCAGGCAACTGAAGTCCTTCCCCTTCTTCTTCTTCATTGTGGTATGTAATTTAAAGCTTTCTTTGGCCATCTGTCTTCATTCATTCGCTTCACGTGACCATACCACACAAGATGTCGCGTTTCAATTCTGTCTACACTGGAATATATAGTATGTGTCCTCCTAATATCTGTATTCCTGATATAATATTTTTAGATACACCACACGCTCTCCTTAGAAAATCCATTTCTTCTACTTCTACTCTTTTTCTATCTTTTTTCGTGATCTGCCAAACTTCTGCCCCATGAGTCATAATGGGCTCTACCAAGGTTCGATAGATTGTCAATTTCGTTTCTTGTCTAATATCTTTAGACCATAGTAGAGAGTTTAGAATGTTGAACACTTTTTTTCCTGCTGCGTTCTGTTTTCGATGTCTCTTTTGGTAGTGCCTTCTTTAGATATTATAGATCCGAGATATTTATATTCATTGCATGTTTCTAATTTCTACCTCTAGATCTTCTTCATCATCTCCTATTTTTAAATACACTCTCTTTGACATATTCATATTGAGGTCCCATTTTTCATATTCTTTCTTTAGTTTTCTAAACATGTAGTCCATGTCTTCCTCACCATTCGCTACGACTACCTGATCATCTGCGAAAAATAAAGTTTTTAGACATTTACCATCGCGAATGTCTATTCTCATTCTGGATATTTGTTTTCTATACTGCTCTAGCGATGATTGAATATATATTTTAAATAAGGTCGGAGATAGGCAAGAATAGTTTACGTCATTTTATTATTGGAAGTGATTCTTCTTGCATTTGATATATATATATATATATATATATATATATATATACATATATATATATACATATATATAAATATATATATATATATATATATATATATATATATATATATATATATAATATATCGAGAAAAGGAGTATGACCGTCAATCCAATATAGAAAATAAGGATCACTCGAAGAGTGGCGGGGTTTTCGGTCAAAAATTGGAGAAAAAAGACAAAGATGATGGCTACTTCATCTATTTATTGAAAACGTTTCGCTATCCAATTTGATAGCATCATCAGTTCATCTCAAAAAGATATGTAGCAGTCAGTGATATCAACAATTGTAAAGAAGCTTACGACAATGGACATTGTATAATTATGTTGTATAAACAATAAATTAAACTAAATATACTTAACAGTTTTCATAAAATTAGCACAGCAAAAAAACATGTGGTAGTTGTACATGTATGTAAAAAAAATATAGGTAAGAACTTATCATATATAAAAAACAAAATTAGTGTGGAAAAGAACTAAAAGGTCCAAGAATGCACTTCCAACAGTAATTCAATAATTAAGATTTCATGAAATCTTTTTTTGGCTTCTTCTTCTTAAGGTGCCGTGCATTTCTGCGTAGGCGTCCACCGTACATCGCCTTGTCAGGTGAGATGTTAAATATTCTGGATTAAATAATTCTGTTTTTAGCAGCATTGCGAAGCATTTCATAGCTGTGGATTCCTGTCCATTGTCGAATATTGCGCAGCCATGACATTTTTTTACGTCCGAGACCTCCTACCCTCTATCTTCCCTTCGAGTATCAGTTGCTGAAAAGTGTATCGTTCTCCTCGTATAATGTGCCCCAAGTATGCAGTCTTCTTACTTTTTACATAATTAAAAAGTTCCCTATCCTGTAAGCCCGCTCTTCTGAGTACTTCCTCATTTCTGACCCTGTCCGTCCATGATATTCTAAGCATTCGACGCAGGCACCACATTTCAAACACTTCAAGTTTGTTAATGGAACTGGCCTTTAACGTCCATGCTTCCATTCCGTACAGGAGAACAGGCCACACGTAACACTTAAGCATCTTGTATCGGAGGTTGAAGTCCAATTTGCGATCAGTCAGAAACTTACGAAGCCTCAAAAAAGCATTTCTGGCTTGTTCAACTCTGCTCTTTATTTCATTCTCGGGGTCCCAACCCTCATTCAGCAAACATTCCAAGTATTTGAATTGCCTGACTTGTTCGATTTCTTCTCCAGAGACATATGTCTTTGCGTTGGGGTAATCATTTCTACTTATAATCATTGATTTTGTCTTCTTGATATTTATTTTCAAACCCCGAGCTTCACTTGCAAGAGTTAGATCATTTAAAAGGCATTGAAGATCTTCGATGTTATCTGCCACTATGGCTGTATCATTGGCATACCTGATGTTATTAATAAATATGCCGTTGACTTTAATACCCTTATTAGAGTCTTCCACTGCTTCTGCGAAGGCTTTTTCTACGTATAAATTGAACAGCATTGGGGACAGTATACAACCTTGCCTTACTCCTTTTTTAATGGAGAAATCTTTTGTTTCGTTGAAATTTTGAAGACGTACTGTTGCTGTCTGATTCCAATACAGATTGGCGATGATTCTTATATCCTTTGCATCCAATCCCAACTCTTGTAGGTATTTTATCATCAATTCATGTTTTACATTATCGAATGCTTTCTCGTAATCGATGAAACAGATAAAAACATCCTTTCTTTGATCTAAACAATTCTGTATCAATGTTTGCATGCTAAAGATCGCTTCTCTCGTGCCAAGTCCATTTTTGAAACCAAACTGACTCCATCCACTGACCTCTTCACATTTCTTAAAAAATCTAGTGTGAAGTATTCTCAGGAAAAGTTTTAAAAAGTGACTCATTAGGCTTATTAGTCGGTGGTCCTTGCAGAAGTTCGCACGTGGTGTTTTTGGTAGGGCGATAAATGTAGATCGAAGCCAATCTTTTGGAATCTGGCCCGTATCGTAGATGTCGTTAAAGAGCTTGACAATAATGTCGTTAAAGAGCTTGACAATAATAAATTTTTTTGGCTGTAACGGCATAATTGCTGTAAAACCAACAGCAATTATGCCGTTAAAATTATGTTGGTAGATTTGGCATTATGGTAGCTTTCATTTTAAGAAAAACCACTATTATCATTCATTCAATTATCATTCAATTGGTTTTGAAAACTTTATTGTTACAGAAAATAATTTTATATGGTAAAATATTAAAGAGATCTTTCCAGGAAATCTGCCACACTCAAAAAGAACACAACTTCATGAATAAACGTACAGTTATTGACAATCTCAGCGTCTTATGTAGATCAATCTTTACTTTCAAATCATTTATAATTCTATTTTTCAAAATTTTTGACTAAATTTCACTAAATGGATCTGTTCCACTCATGGCCTTTCGCCAAGTCAGTCTTCTATCCAAATTAAGTTTCACGTCACATTGTGAACATCACATAGCAAGATTTAAGCTATTTTTTAATTTTGTTCCGATTAATTTGCAAGTTTTGTGATGCTCTCAACTGTGGTTAATCTGGTAGTTGGTAAGTCAGCAATAAACAAAAAAATATAAAACAAAAGCAATAAGGCTCGCTGCCTTGGGGTCCCCCAAGTGGTGAAATGAAAATAGCAAATCAAAAAGCAAATCTATTAATAACTTTACTTCATATACCGACCAAAAAATATAATAGTTATTTATTGTACAAGACGATAAAATTGAACTTTATCTTCGAGAGCGTTTTTTAGCGTCGAGACGTCAGTCGAGACGCTAATTATGCTCGAGAAGATAATGCGATTTTATCGTCGTGTGCAATACAACATTTTTTTCTGTAGCAGGACTTCAAGTTCACGTGAAAAATAGAATTTCAAAGTAAATTGTAATCTTTAGCACAAAAATAGCAATTATGTTGTCGCATGAATTACTCTGTCAACAAATGTCAAACAAATGTCAAACAATACCAAAAATAGATATTACTAATAATGTTAATTGTGAAATTTCACTTGTTTTTAATTCTTAATGTGTTTGAATTTGTAAATTTTGTTGAATAAAAAATAGCTATAAAACATTTTATCTACTCTTGCTGTTAAAGTGTCAGTTTATCTACCCCTGCGGTTAAAGTGATACTTTATCTACTCAAAACAGTTGTTATAGCAACACTTTAACATTAGCTATTGAAAAAGTACCATTCATAAAATTCAATGAAATAAAATGGAGGAACTAGGAAAATGGAGTAGTGTTCTTTCATTATTATTTATTGTGGAGTATAAACTCCATAATTTGGAAAAAATGATACTCTCTAACCTACCTTCTCCATTTAGTAATAGCTTCAGGAAGATTTTCCCAGGAATCATTTAACAAAAACGTCCTTATTCCTATAAAACAATACTTAAAATAGTTGTTCCAATTGAGCAATTTTAAATCACTGAAAAATATTTCATTATCTTTTTCACTCATTTTCTTACATACTCTTTGCACATTTTCTGAGTGAAAAGTCCAATTTTGTGTGCAAAAATAAGACAGTACTTTTGAGAATCTATGGATTTTTTTGTAGGCTTTTAGCATTCTGAAAAATAAAAGTGAATTATATTTTCAGGTAATATATCAAACAAAAGAACAAAAATATTATTATAATATATTATAATATGTTTTTTCGCATGTGAAAAATTGAACATACTGGGAGCGAGCGAGAAGAGTTACGCCACTGAGATAGGGCATCAAATGATTGTCATTAGATTAGTGATAAAACTTTATACATTAGGAACATTGTTGTAAAAAACAAGACAACTAAGAACTACTTAAAATCTAGAAAAACTAAAGTCTAACCAAGTTGTATGTTTGTCGGCTAAAAACGACACTATTGGATAAAAGGTAACCTAGCTACTTTCTGTATTGGCCTAATATACAAGACTTGTAGTTATACGCAAGTAGCATCCTCTCCTTCTCAGTCCTAATCCTTTTTGGGATGTGGTGACACTATCAGGCCTTTACAGTTATTTTCACGATTTTCCTCCATCATTCTCTGTCCTGGGCTAGTTGTTCGACTTCATATAACCCTTGGTTAATCAATATTTTTGTTTGATCTACCCAACGGCTTGGAGATCTTCCCCTAGGTCTTTTTTTTTCAACTCTACCCTCGACTATCAATTTTTCCATCGTACCTGTTCTTCTAGCAATGTGTCCAAAATATATATATATATAATATATATATATATATATATATATATATATATATATATATATATATATATATATATATAATATATATAGCGAGTGTTTGCAACTTTAATTTTGTCGCTTCTCGCATCCCAATCGCCATAATTTCTTATCGGCCCAGTCTCCTTCTTGAAGACCTCTATTTTCCATTTCTATATGAATATTGGATATCCATTTCTTTCTTGGCCTTCCCCTTTTATTTCTCTGTGTAGGTCTCCAGTTCCAAACCTTTCGTGGTATCCTTTCTTCGTTCATCCGTCTCAGGTGTCCATACCATTTTAATTGTTTTTCGGCTATCGTATCCATTATTGTGTTCTTTACTTTCATTCTCTCTCTTATGTTTTCATTTCTTATGTGGTCAAACAAAGTTAACCCGGAACATCTTCTCCAGTACATCATTTCCGTTGAGAGGAGTTTTTGTGACATATTCTTGTTAAAGACCCACACTTCTGACCCATACGTCAGCACCGGCTGAATCATAGCCTGATATATATTTTTCTTTGTTTTCTTAGTTAAAGTTTTATTCCACAGGATCGGATGTAGTGTTTTTATCATGTTTTTTCCTTTTCCTATTTTTCTTGTTATATCTTTGTCGTCTCTCCCGTCTTCGCTTAGTGTAACTCCGAGATATTCGTACTGATCAACGTTTTTAATTAATCCGCTTTCTGTTTCCATGTCTTGACCGATGCCTCCTATATTCATGTATTGTGTCTTTTCGGTATTAACCTCTAATCCCCATTTTTTGAATTCGTCTATTAGTTTGTTTATCATGTACGTCATATCTTGTAGGTCCTCGGCAAGAACTACCTGGTCGTCTGCGAAGAGGATTGTGTATATAGGTGTGTCATTTACCCATATGCCCATTGGGCTGCATTTTCTTATCCAATATTTTAAAGCATTACCAAGATATATTTTAAATAGGGTTGGGGAGAGGCAAGAGCCCTGTTTGACACCCTTTGTTTGGGTGAAACCCTTGGAAATTTGGTTTCCAACCTTAATATAAGCTTGGTTATCTTGATATAGCTTTTTCACGGCATTTATATATACTGCATTTATACCTGCGTTTTCCAATGTTGTCTATAGTCTCTGCAGTGGTACGGAGTCAAACGCTTTACGGAGATCTATAAAAGTGGCATGAAGTTCTAGTCCTCTTGCTAATCTCTTTTCCGTTAGATGTTTGAGAGTAAATACATTGTCGACACAAGATCTCCCTGGTCGGAATCCACTTTGTTCTTCGAGCTCTGTGGCTTCTTTTTCTATTTTGCCTTTCAGAACTCTTTCATACAGTTTGCCAGTGGATGACGTAATGCTGATACCTCGGTAATTACTGCAGTCATTCCTGTTTCCCTTTTTGTAGATGGAGTTTATGTACGAGACTTTCCAATCTCTTGGGATACTTTCTCCTTGTAGGCACTTGTTAAACATTTTACAAAGCAATTCTAATGTTATTCCAGTGGCATGTTTGAATAACTCGATAGGTAAATCACCTGGCCTAGGAGCTTTATTATTTTTCATTTTTTGTAATGCGTTTTTTATTTCTTCTACGGTAATCATCGCCACTTCATTTAACCCCGTTTCAACTCTATCTATCTGTGTGTCTAGAAACTGTGTACGTTGTTCATTTAATAGATTTTCATAATAATTTTTCCATCTTTCTATGTCTATGGGGTTTATTTTTTTGTTTCGTTTGTATTTTTTCTAACACTGTTGATAGTTTTCCAAGCTTGTCTGGACCTAGATCCTCCTACCATTGAGCTTATTTCTGCACACTTGTTGTCCCATGTTATGTTTTTTGTTTTTTTTAATTTCCTTTTTTACTATATATTTGTATCTGTTATAGTTCTTTCGGTCTTCCTCATCTTTTGTCGCTAACCATTTGAGATACAGTTTTTTCTTTTCTTCTACCAGTTCTAATAAACCTTCTGTCCACCAATAATTTCTACGTTTTACTTTTTCTTTCGTACCTAGAGCTTCTAATGCTGCTTCATGAATTTTGATTTTTAAAGTCTCATACATTTCTTCCGCTGTTCCGTTTATTTCTTCGTCTAATTTTTGTGCCCAACGTAGTTTATAAAGAAAACGTGTGGACTCATTTTTTAAGCTGTCTATGTTATAGAGCCGTGTGGATTCTTTGTTTGTCTGTTCTTGGGATTTATTTTGTTTAATATATCTTATTTCTATGGGTGCCTTTACTAGTAGGTGATCCGATCCACATTCTGCCCCTCTCCAAACTTTTACATCGTAGGGTCTTAAAGATGTCTCTTATTTAACTACTATATAGTCTATAATTGACTGCAGTTTTCTTGTCTTTTGAGTCCATGTATATTTATTTATGTCTCTATGTTTGTAAAATCCATTCAGTATTTTTAACGAATGTTGTTCGCATACCTCCAACCATCTTATTCCGTTCTCATTTACTACATCTTCTCCGTGTTGTCCAATTATTTTGTTGTCAAGAGCTTTACCTACTCTTCCGTTCAGGTCCCCTAGCAGGACTATTTCTTGCCTTTTTTATTTAACTCTTCTGAGAGTTTGTCGAAGAACATGTCTTTAGTGTTTGTATCTGAGTCGTCCGTGGGTGCAAAGATGCCAATTATTTTTATGTCTCTCCCCTTTGTTGTAAGGTCTACTGTTATAATTCTTTCGTCTATCGGGTTCCAGTTGGTAATACATTTTTCCATGTTTTTTCTTATCACGACCGCTACTCCAGCTTTGGCTCTTTTTGATTTTTCTACTCCGCTCCAGAAGTATATATAATCGTCTTTGTAGTGGTTCCCCTGTCCTTTCTTTTTTGTTTCGCTGAGTACTGCGATGTCAATTCGGTATGTACTGAGTTCCTTAAATACTTGGTCTTCTTTTGTATTCAATCATTGTATGTTTCAACATCCAAAATTCGTTAGCCTTTTTCTTTGCCTATGGCGTTTTCCGTTGAAGCCATATGAGTTTCGAGGCTGTTCTTTGGGATTTCTAGCAATATTTCCTTTACGCAGGGCGGGGAGCTAACCTACCGCTGTAACCCTCCTCCTTCATCCGGGATTGGGACCGGCACTGGCATTTACTGAGCTACTCAATCCACCCAGTATCTACCAGAGGCGGAGTTAAATTTTTTGTCCAAAATACTGCAAATTTCTCTGTTGTATTTGTTTAAGCAATCTATGATGCGATGATCAATCCACATGATGCGATGATGTATACCCACATTTCAAAAGCGTCCAGTTTATTTTTATCCGCTTTCGTTAAGGTCCACGTTTCGTATGCATATGTGGCTATGGGAAAAATAAGTGCCCTTTTCCTGGGACAAATCCCGCTTGTTCTTCTGATATCTGAGGCAATAGAAAAGCTTTTAGTCTTTCATGTATTACATGAAGTATAACCTCTAGCGGAGTTTCTTTTTTGAATATAGGGATGAAAGTGGATGTTGTCTAGTCGTTGGGCCATTCTCCGGTTTCCCAAATCTTTTTGCAGATCATATGCATAATATTTACTCCAACATCTCCAGTCTCTTTTAAAACTTCTGCGATGATCTGGTCTGCGCCAGGAGATTTTCTATTTTTCAACTTTTTTATTGCTTTTTCTACCACTGACTTTAGAATGTTTGGCAAGTAGCATAGATGACCTGAAAAGCATCAGCGAAACAATATAATTGCATATTCGACAGAGGCAGTGGAAGTGCCAGGTATCTGGGAAATGTAGTTGTAGATATTGATTGGAATCTTTTCATCAACGATTTCCAGTCAGAGATTAGTACATCATCCAGTATTTCACTGCTTTAGTCTAAGTGGAAGGACCAGAGACGTTAAGAAACGGTTAGGATATACTATACTAGGTGAGAGTTTTCCTAAAGAGTCATACATCCGTGAAACACTGTATGACGTTACTATTTTTTTTATCGAGAGAAATATCGAAATATCAATAGTCTAGACGCGATCTGTTTTGGATTGGACATTTTCCATAGGAAGCTATTTTTTTGCTGGAATCCCTTCAGGATGTGCCCAATATCGATAATCACGATATGCGCCAGTCGCAAACCCTGTGCTAAATTTTTTATTTAACAAAATCTGAAAACAATTGAAAATTTCTCATTTCTTTGCTCCTATTTTCGTTTATAATTCGGAAAATATTGATCCTAGAGAAAAAATTGTAGGAAGTTAAAAGTTACGTAATTCAATTTTACACAATATTTCGTTAGCTAGAAATTGAAAATTTAATGTTTATTGTTGAAAAAATAGCAATAATTGGAAAAAAAGTACAAAAAAATGAAGTTAATCCTTTAAATGTTTTCGACTTTCTAAACTTGACTTACAAGCTCCATATTCCGACTAGAAAAACTTTTTAATATGTTTAAAACGTGTGGTAAATTTTGTTAAGATCGGTCGGATAGGTTTTGCATAATAATTGTGCAATCCAGCCTACTGGAAAAAAATCGCAAATTTTCAAATTTATAGTAGGCCCTAAATAAGGCCCTCAGATAGATGCAATTTTTTTTACATATAAAGGAAGGCTCAAACTTCCAAACTTCCAAATTTTTTTAAAGTTTTAAACATTTTTTAGGCTTATAAACAAGTTGAATAACTTTACGAGCTTTAAACATATCATTTTCGAATCAAAATATATTTTCAAATCAAATAATGTCATTATTATGATAAAACTGCAGAAATTAATTATTTTAAAAAGTTTGATTTTTACAGAAAAAAAAAATTCTTTCGCCCTTGTTTTAACAATTCAAATTATTTATTAACAATTTATAAATACATATTTGTTTACTAAAAGTAACAATATATAATAACAGTAATAATTTGAATTGTTAAAACAAAGGCAAACGATTTTTTTTTTTTTTTTGTAAAAATCAGACTTTTTAAAATAATTAATTTCTGCAGCTTTATCATAATATTGACACTTATGATAAAGCTGAATTTGAATTTTACAAAAAGCGTTTGGAAGTTTGAGCCTTCCTTTATATGTAAGAAAAATTAAAACTATCTGAGGGCCTTATTTAGGGCCTACCATAAATTTGAAAATGTGCGATTTTTTTTTTCAGTAGGCTGGATTGCAAAATTATTATGCAAAACCTATCTGACCGATCTTAAAAAAATTTAGTACACGTTTTAAACATATTAAAAAGTTTTTCTAGGCGGAATATGGAGCTTGTAAGTCAAGTTTAAAAAGTCGAAAACATTTAACACTTTCATTGCCGACGGCACACACCGTGCGCCATCGGCTATTGTCGTCACAGGCCGACGGCGCACCATGTGCGTCGAGCGCATACGTGACTTTCCTTAAGTAGTAATTAGTATGGCTCTGGCCTTTGTTAGAGTCAGTTCTGTTTTTATTGCCCGTTCAGATATATTCTAAAATATATACGTGCATTTGCGGTTTCGTAATTTTGTGTTTTTTTATATAGTTATGGATGGTGACGTTGCAGAACCGTCTAGTTCGAAGCGTGTATGTAGAAACCGTGATGTGAAGATCCCATTGTCGAGTAAACAGCTGCAAGAATTAGCAGATTCATTGTGGGAAAGTTCAGAGGAAGATCTAGTAGTTCCATCACATGATTCTTGGTCGGAGGAGGATGATAATGCTGACAACGATAGATTTGAGGCTGATATTGTGAATGATCCTGACAATGTTTTTAGCGACGACGATGATGATATCCCTCAAACAAGATTATTATTTCCAGACTATAATAACACTCCTGATTTGAAAACAATTGATTTCACTAGAATACCTGGATTTCGTGTACCACCACCTGTAAGTAATAATCCATATGATTTTTTCAGTTTGCTTGTAACTGATGAATTACTAAATCACATTGTACAAATATTTACGAAGAAGAATTTTTTTTAAATCAAGCTTCAGCAAAATCCAGAATAACCGATTGGAAACCACTTTCCTTAGCAGAGTTAATGATTTTTTTTTTGGCATGTGGTTCCAAATGGGAAATGTACAACTCAATCGGTTACAAGACTACTGGAAAAAAGATGAACTGTTTGCTATTCCTGGTTTTCAAAAATACATGAGTAGAAATAGATTCATGATCATTATGAGGTGCCTTCACTTTTCAATAAATGCACGTCAAAAGGGAGATCCTGGTTATGGTGATCGTTTGCATAAAATCAGAATTCTTCAAGATTATTTTAATAAACGAATGGATGAAATCTATTACCCTGCAAAATCGTTATCATTAGATGAGTCCATGATGCTGTGGCGCGGAAGACTGTCTTTTCGCCAATTTTTAAAAGGTAAACGACACAAGTTCGGCATAAAATTGTATATATTAGCTGAACCCGATGGTATGGTGTTGCGATGCAATGTATACAGTGGTGCTCAAGGTGAAACTGGTGGTACAGGTCATACTGAAAAAGTGGTATTGTCACTGATAAAAGGGTTCGAGAACAAAGGACATTCTTTATATATGGACAACTTTTATAATAGTGTTCCCCTATGTCGGAAATTGCTTGATCAAAAAACTTATGTTACCGGTACTTTCCGAAGAGGCAGAAAACAAAATCCAAAAGTCGTTATTGACGCAAAAATTAAGAATGGCGAAATAGTTACCCAATATCTTGAGAGAATTGCAGTCAGTAAATGGCGAGATAAGAGAGAGGTCCTTTTTCTGTCAACGGAGTTTGAGGAAGAAATGATAGAGACACAAACAAAAAGAGGAGACATTGTACAGAAACCAAAGGCTATAACTAAATACAACCCAAATATGTCTGGCATTGATCGCCAGGATCAAATGCTTTCATACTATTCAAGTGAGAGGAAAACTTTGAGATGGTATAAGAAACTCGGAATACATTTTTTGTCTATTATGTTTCTCAACAGTTTTCTTTTATTCAAAGAGCTTCAAACGTAAAACTTACATATTATGATTACCGTTTGCAAGTTATAAAAACGTTGTTATCGGAAAAATCTTTACCGCCTACACGCAAGTTGGACACTACGCATTTACCGAGTAAGTTGGACAGAACGCATAGGAGAAGATGTAGGGAATGCAGCAAACAAAAGATTCGAACGTGTACCCAATATTATTGTTCTTCATGCGAAGGAGAACCAGGGCTGTGTTTACAAAATTGCTTTGCAGAATATCACAAAAAATTATAGATATTGTGTTTTTATATTTTGTTTGTTTTTTTGTGTGAAATACCTTTTTTTTAAATAAATTTTTTGTTCAGTGTCTGTTGTATCATTTTAGTGTAAACATTTCAGTATATATGAACGACGCACACCGTGTGCCACCGGCCTTTCATACAAAATTTTATTCGAACGGCCGACGGCACACACCGTGTGACACTATTCCAAAAGCCTATTTTAGTCTATGAAATGATAAACCAATGTTTAAAATATATTTAATACACTCTTACATTCAACTATTTAGCAATGTTAAGTTACGGCTTCAGGCGAACATCCAAAATAATTGGTTGGCACTGAATATGTTAAAGGATTAACTTCATTTTTTTGTACTTTTTTTCCAATTATTGCTATTTTTTCAACAATAAACATTAAATTTTCAATTTCTAGCTAACGACATATTATGTAAAATTGAATAATGAAACTTTTAACTTTTATAATTTTTCTCTAGGATCAATATTTTCCGAATTATAAACGAAAATAGGAGCAAAAAAATGAGAAATTTTCAATTGTGTTCAGATTTAGTTAAATAAAAAATTTAGCACAGGTTTGCGACTGGCGCATATCGTGATTATCGATATTGGGCCCATCCTGAAGGGATTCCAGCCAAAAAAAACTTCCTATGGAAAATGTCCATTATGGTCTGAATTTTTACAGATCCCGCCTAGTCTACAAGCCTATTCAGCACGAACACTAAAATCACAGAGCTGAGCGCAATGCGTCAGTTGTCTATGTGAGCCAACATCAGAAAGTGAGAACGAAAAGGCATTATTTCTATTCAGTATAATCTTTAAAATCAGAGATAATTTCTGTTTGCTATTTCAAAAACTGTTTGTATGTTTAAAAGATAGGGTTAAAATTAGGTAGGAATTATTACTAAGGGTTGGATTAAATGATGGTTGTTAATATTGAGGTTAAGAAATAAAGAAATTGATACAGCGCAATATCATTGTTTTTAGCATATAGAAAATTGAACACTTACTTTGGTTTTTTTCCAGTACATACTAAAACACAATCTACAAGGAAAGCAGGAACTGTGTGTAGTAAAAATGCATAAATGATGTATAGAAAATATTTTTTTTCTAAAACCAAACTCACGTACCAAATTGCACTGAGGGACGGGGTGTGTAGTCCATATTTTATAGTACTGTTCATAAAAATGTTCCAATTAATCGGCTAAAAAATATGAATTATTATTAAAAAATATTAATCTATTGGTTCTAATGTCTGGTAGAATTAAACTGACATTTGTTCAACAAATTAGGATGGCGATATTGCTACCATTTAGAGCGTACTAAGTCTTGTAATTACTTCCAATTCGAAGGACAACCCACTGGCGTGGGAAATAAGAATACAAGCAGTTCAAACAATACGTAATTTAATAATTGAATGTCACTACAATTAAGTTAATATCTAGCCAAAGTTTTAGCGCAAGTTCTTTATTGAAATAGCCCCGATCACTGTCCATACACAGGTCCGCAACACACTACAAACTAGAGGTGTGCTTATTAGTTCTTTTAGACGAACTAGTTCAACAGAACTATTTCACAAAAATGAACTAGTTCAGTAAACTAGTTCGCGAAAGAACTATTTGTAGGACCGACATCGAAATCCAACCCTAACAGAACTGGTTGCCAGATGTCTCGTCTCAATCATCACACAAGCTCGGCGCTGGCCGCCCGTTTACTTCGGTTTTCAGTCAGTCTTTCACTAGTTCACTACCGTACAAGTTGTTCGGAACTATTTCTTTCGATCGTATGTTTAGGTTTAAATGGTGTAAATTATTATATGATTAGTTAGTTTTTATTTGCAAAAAATTATTAAGATTTGTTTTTTATTAACCGTTTTAAATATAAATATGGTTCAAGTATGATTTATTTTTATATTTACGTATATTTAAACTAATAGGTATTTATAATTAAGTTATTTCTAAAAGAACCTTTACAAAAAAAATCAGTGAATTTTCTAGGAACATTAAATAACACATTTTCATTCTCACTTTTACATAAAATTATATTTTATGTAAATGCCTCAATCATTTTAACCACAACTAAAATTTTTATTTCAAAATTACAATACAAGAAACAACACAGCATGGCAACATCCAAGCCAATACATGGGCATAAGATCCAAACCATTATGACATTAAGATAAGACCTTATGGTATTGTAACATTCATAAGAATTATGAATCTATAGTTTATTCGTCTTCCGGGTTTGGACCGTGTCATTTGTGAGTGACCCATTTGAGATGAATCCACTTTTGGGTCACTCACAAATGACACGGTCCAAACCCGGAAGACGAATAAACTATAATTCTGACTCTGGCCGTGGAAGCCTACGATTTCATTTAATTATGAATCTGTTATCTAAGGCTAATCGGCATTTTTTTAAAACTAGTTAGTCCATCCATTCACAAAATAATAAATATATGTTCTAATTCATTCATTCATTATTTTCTTCTTTAGAAGTCGAGATATAATTTATAATGCAAATCGTTCGCAGTGAACTAGTTCTATGAAAATTAATGAACTAGTTCAATTAGTTCAGTTGAAAGAATCGTTTATTAGAACTATTTCGATGATGAACTACACATCCCTACTACAAACGCTAGCACTGAGACAGATTAAAATGTTCCTACTAATTATCACTTCAACTAAGGACATTTTTTTATATATAAATAAACTTTATTAAGACTGAGCGTTCAGCTTTTAACTATAAGCCTGTTAGAGAAATAAACTCTAAACAAGAAATGCGTTGAATTATATCGAATACGAAACTAAACACTAATACGCGAAAGCAGCCAGCTAAGCTGGGATACAATGTTATACTGAAAAATTTAAGATTCTGATTAAAATGTCTTGACTATTGCAAGGGATTCGCAGGGGACGGAGGACAACGTACAGCCTACCTACAGAGGTAGGTAAAAAACGACCTTTTCAATTCTTGTCCTTCAATGTCCCAGAATGCGATGGAGATATATCATATAAGCAGATTTTCGGAAAATGAACATTCCATTTGACCCTAGGTTCATGGAAAACCGAACAAATTGGAAAAAAGTTGTACAGTCAGCCAAAACCCACCCAGGGTTGTAGCTCTACGTGATGATGATGATGATGATGGCATTCACATACTTTCTACTGAGACCTACTTTCGTCAATGTTTGAAACAGTTTTTTCAAAGGTACCGTATCGGATGCCTTCTCTAAATCTACAAACAGTAGGTGGGTAGATAGATTCCTTGCCTTCCGTTTTTCGATTACCTGTTGCAGAACGAATATACCATCAGAGCACGATCTTCCTGCAGGAAATTCATTTTGTTCTTTAATGTCTTCGTATTCTGATTCTATTATTCCTTTAATTATTCGATCTTACAACCTCCCCAGTGAGCTGATAACAGTTATTCTCCTATAATTAGAGCATTTATGTTTATCCCCTTTGTTGAATATTGAACTGATGTATCCAATATTCCAATCATCAGGGATATTTTGTCCTTTTAAGCATTTGTTAAATAGTTGAACCAACATCTCATGTATTATTTTTGGTCCATATATTACCAACTTAATTGGGATGTCTCCAAGTCCTGCTGCTTTACCGTTTTTCAATGGCGGTGGTGGTGGTTGATTGGTGATAAAACCAACAGCAATTATGCCGTTAAAATTATGTTGGTAGATTTGACATTATGGTAGCTTTCATTTTAAGAAAAACCACTATTATCATTCATTCAATTATCATTCAATTGGTTTTGAAAACTTTATTGTTACAGAAAATAATTTTATATGGTAAAATATTAAAGAGATCTTTCCAGGAAATCTGCCACACTCTAAAAGAACACAACTCCATGAATAAACGTACAGTTATTGACAATCTCAGCGTCTTATGTAGATCAATCTTTACTTTCAAATCATCTATAATTTATTTTTCAAAATTCTTGACTAAATTTCACTAAATGGATCTGTTCCACTCATGGCCTTTCGCCAAGTCAGTCTTCTATCCAAATTAAGTTTCACGTCACATTGTGAACATCACATAGCAAGATTTAAGCTATATCCCTGTTTAATCTCTATTCCGAAGACGTAATGAATAGAACACTCTCTGAGCAATTCGTAGATATTAAAATAAATGGTGTTAGATTAAACAATCTGAGATTTGCCGACGACACCGTTCTGATCGCAGAAACACTTGAAGAGCTACAGACATTGGTGAATAAGATAGCAGACTGCAGCGAAGAATATGGACTATCTTTGAACATAAAGAAATCTAAATTTATGGTAATATCGAAATCAACACAAAATGTACAAAATTTATATTTACACAATGAAATTATCGATCGAGTTAGCAAATACAAATATTTAGGCACTTTTAAAAATGAAGACAACGATAGCTCAGCAGAAATCAAAGTAAGAATAGAAAAAGCCAGATCCATATTCACTAAAATGAAGAGAGTGTTCTGCGGAATAGATTTGAGCCTTGAAATGAAACTTTGCCTGATGAGATGTTACGTACTTTCTGTGCTGTTCTACGGTATGGAGTCATGAACGTTGAAAAATATTGATACCAAAAAATTAGAGGCATTTGAACTGTATATGTATCGCAGAATCCTGAGAATATCATGGACCGAGAGAGTCACAAATGTCGAGGTCTTGAGAAGAATGAATAAAGAAAAGGAAGTCATATTTACGATCAAAAAATGAAAACTGCAATAATTGGGACACATTACAAGAGGCGAAAGATATGAACTGCTTCGAATAATTATGCAAGGGAAAATAGCAAGAAAAAGGTATAGAAAGAAGATGAAACTCCTGGCTAAAGAATCTACGGGAATGGTATAACTGTAGCAACAACGAATTGTTTCGGTCAGCAGTTTCGAAAATACGTATAGCCCTGATGATCGCCAACCTTCGGAACGAAGATATCACTTGAAGAAGAACCCGATCGTTGGAAGCCGCTTTTACATTTCAAGTTAATAAATAGGATAAATAGGATTAAATACTTACGCTATCGTTACTGCTTTCAAAGTTATAAATAGGTATTTCATAGTTCTTATTCTGATGTTTTGCTTCTAAAAACTGTTCTGAGACATCCCAAGCCGATGCGATTATAGAGTTGACACACATATCTCCTGGCACTATGTTTGCATTGACATATTCATCACAATGCACTACCCTTATTAGACCTACACCTGTTCCTGCAACTATCCCTGTAGGACCATACATATTATTTATCCATGCTCGAACTGGTTCTCTGTAGGTTGTTACCACTGTAAATGATGTAATCATGGTTACTTGTATAAATCTAACTTTTAGATCTAATCTTTTTAGTTTTGACACAAATCATAGTATTATTACTGTTTTGTTGTGAATAAGCCGCAATGAAAATTTAAATTTTAACTTTATTTTCAACAAGAAGTATCTGTAACGAATCTGTAGTATTTAACGAAAGCATTAAAAAATTCAAATTGTTTGGATACTAATGAGCTAATCTTTTATCAAAAGCACTAGTGAAATAATTACTAAGCCTTTTACTCATTAATAGTATTTTTTCAATCGGGATATTCCCAACTACATTTAAATACTCCAAGATTGTTCCTATTTTTAAAAAGGGCGATCGTGACCTTGTAGACAATTCTAGACCAATTTCCATCGTTTCGGTATTCTGTAAAATAATCGGAAAAATTCTGAAGAATCGTCTTATATCGTACTTCGATGCTCGAATAAATGAACTTTGAAAATTAGGGCAACTATATCGAGCACAAGTTTAAGCAAATCTTGCCCAAGTACTTTCGCTTAATATAGCATCTTAAGGGGCATTTCATCAAATATGGGTTATCCAGCAAGCGTAGAATGTGATAAACATGGATGTTAACATAAAAGTGTGAAAACACTTTACTAAAACAAGGACAAACAGTTTAAAATTAATTAAAATAGTAACAGGAGTTATAGGTAACAGGAGAGAGAACGAGAGAATTCTCGTTCTCTCTCCTGTTACAATTTTATCTTAACATCCATGTTTATCACATTCTACGCTTGCTGGATAGCCCATATTTGACGAAATGCCCCTAAAGATGCTATATTAAGCAAAAGTACTTGCGCAACATTTGATTAAACTTGTGCTCGATATAATTGCCTTAATTTTCAAAATAATTTTTTTACTAGTTCACAATATGGGTTTAGAAAGGATCGTTCCACAACACATGTACTTTTAGATGTGATGAGTGCCATAGTTGATGGCCTTGAGAAGCATAATCACTCTGCCATAACCCTGTGTGAGCTTTCAAAGGCCTTCGACTGTGTTTCTCATGATATTTTGTTAAAAAAACTGAATTTTTGCGATATAAGAGATACTCCTTTGGAAATAATTTCATCGTAGGTAAAAAGAAATAAAATAAGACTTACAATCAGGCTAATTTTACTACCAAGACGACCGGTTCGCTTTCTACAATTTGCAAAGTATCTTCAGGTCAGTCGGTACTTTGCTTACAGATGCTTTGCAAATTGTAGAAAGCGAAACCGGTCATTTTGGTAGTAAAATTAAACTGATTGTGAGTAAGTCTTATTTTATTTCTTTTTACCTATTTGAAATGGACTCACACAGGCAACATATTCATGATTTTAATTTCATCATATCTAAAGGATATATACCAAGTAGTCAAATACAAAAATTGTCTATCTGAATTTAAGCAGATAAGGCATGGAGTTCCACAAGGATCAGTTCTGGGTCCTCCATTATTTATAATATATGTTTATGACTTGCCCAATTTTATGGCTCCATTTAAAACAGTGTTATTTGCAGATGGCCCTACTTTTGTTTTTTTTTAATAAAATCTTTCAGTTTCAGAAACCATTCCTGAGTATGTAAACTCCAATGCTCAATCATAATTCTTAGCAAATATACTTAAACTAAATGATAACAAAATTCAAATTTTAATTTTTTCGTCTACCTTCAATGTGAGTGAAAAAAATAATGTCAAATTGATGGACATAACAGTTGACAACACATTGATTCGGTATACCTATATTAAATTTTATAGTACGTTATTTTTACTCGGACAATTAAAACTTGTTACAAGTGTTGATACTTTGAAAATAACGTACTTTTCTCTACTCTAGTCTTATTTTATTTCTTTTTACCTATTTGAAATGGACTCACACAGGCAACACATTCATGATTTTAATTTCATCATATCTAAAGGATAGATACCAAGTAGTCAAATACAAAAATTTTCTCTCTGGATTTAAGCAGATAAGGCATGGAGTTCCACAAGGATCGGTTCTGTCCTCCATTATTTATAATATATGTTTATGACTTGCCCAATTTTATGGCTTCATTTAAAACAGTGTTATTTGCAGATGGCCCTACTTTTGTTTTTTCTAATAAAATCGTTCAGTTTCAGAAACCATGTCTGAGTATGTAAATTCCAATGCTCAATCATAATTCTTAGCAAATATACTTAAACTAAATGATAACAAAACTCAAAATTTAATTTTTTCGTCTACCTTCGATGTGAGTGCTGAAAAAAACTATGTCAAATTGTTGGGCATAATAATTGACAACACATTGACTCGGTATAACTATGTTAAATTTTATAGTACGTTATTTTTACTCGGACAATTAAAACTTATTACAAGTGTTGATACTTTGAAAATAACGTACTTTTCTCTTTTCCATTCAATTTTAAGATATGGCATTATTATATGGAGAAACTCTTGCAATGCCAATTGCAAAAAAAGCAATAAGAATAATTGCAAAAGTTAGCTACTTGGAATCTTGCAAACCGTTGTTTATTAAATACAGGGTGTTTCAAAAAACGGTAATCCCGTCTCTAGGGTAGGTAAAAAACTGAAAAATAATTGGGGTTTGCTTAGTAAACAATTTTTGTAACGCCATCCATTTTCAAGATACAGGGCGTTGAAGAAAAAAAAATTTTACGCATTTTTTACGATTTTGCCGAAACTACTGGCAACATTGTAATGAAATTTTATACGAATATGTTTTGGAAGCTGATACATCCCATGAATTTGTTTTTATATCTGATTCTCATAGAGGTCGCTAGTTACACGGATCGTACTAAATATTAGTCAATATAACTTTTTTAAGAGTATAATTAATAATCAAAATTTCAAGTAAACATAAACATCATTCAATTTTACACGAAAAAGGTACTCTTGGTAAAACTCGATACTGTGTACCGTTTTCGGAATATTTTGATTTGCAAATTCTGAAGTAATAATTGATGCTCTTAGTAATGATAAAGTTCTAATAGGTATACCTCTATTTTCTCCAAGTGTGCCATGGAAATCTGACATTTATTGATTGTTATGACGATAAATCAACAATAATTGGAGTTTTGAAAACTTGTTATTTGTAAAATCAAATCAAAATGTACTCAAATGTTGAATACACTGACATGTTATTAACCTAGGCGAATGTTTAGGATGTTCTAGTGCAGATGTGATACGTTATGCAGAAAAGTTTTCTAGAAGAAACTTACCAAGTAAAAAAACATTTAGAGCCGTTATAACGACGTTGTCGAGAAACTGGGAATGTATGACCAAATAAAATAAATTCTGGTAGACCAAGAACAACAAGAACAATTAATAAAGAAAAAAATATTTTAAATTTACTTGATGAAGATCCAACAGATAGCGTAAGCAATATAGCAAGACAAACAAATACTTCTTCTTCAAGTACTGGACGGATACTGAAGGAACAGCAATTACATCCTTATCATTACAGACAAGTCCAAGAGCTCTTGCCAGATGATCTACCGATTAGAGTGGATTTTTGTGAAACATTGCAACAAAGGACAGATCACAATCCAAATTTTTTAAAATGCATTCTTTTTACGGACGAGGCCACCTTAGCCGAGAGCCAACAAAGGGTATCACATTACCAACACTCATTTAAAGTTAATGTTTGGGCAGCAACTTTAAGTAACAAATTAATAGGTTATCATATTCTACCTGGAAATTTAAATGGTGATATTGTATCTTGATTTTTTTAACAATTCCTTATTCGAGATATTAGAAGGTTTAACGCTAAACGAGCAAAGATCTTTATTTTTTATGCACGATGGAGCTCCAGCACACTTTGTTAGAAGGTGTCGTAATTGGTTGAGTAATCATTTTCCGAATCGATGGATTGGTAGAGGTGCAGAAGCTCCGATTCATTGGCCTCCTCGGTCATGCGATTTTAATCCTTTGGGCTACGCAGTTTGGTCATATATTAAGGAAAAAATCTATGCTACGGAGGTAAATTTACGCCAAGAATTGGAAGAAATAATTCAACGTCAATTTAATGACATCATAGCTGATCCCCTACCGTTTAGAAGGTTAATGGAATGTTTAGAAAAAAGAATAGACTTGTGTATTAGCGAAAACGGAGGGTATTTTGAACACTGTAATTGAATTTTATTTTATGTTCTTAGTCATTAATTTAATTTTCTTCTTGTGAGTTTTGTTTAATTACTAACTGTTTTATACCAGCATCAATTATTACTTCATAATTTTCAAATCAAAATATTCCGAAAACGGTACACAGTATCGAGTTTTACGAAGAGTACCTTTTTCGTGTAAAATTGAATGATATTTAAGTTTACTTGAAATTTTGATTAATAATTATACTCTTAAAAAAGTTATATTGACTAATACTTAGTACGATCCGTGTAACTAGTGCCCTCTATGAGAATCAGATATACAAACAAATTCGTGGGATGTATCAGCTTCCAAAACACATTCGTATAAAATTTCATTACAATGTTGCCAGTAGTTTCGGCAAAATCGTAAAAAATCGGTAAAATTTTTTTTCTTCAACGCCCTGTATCTTGAAAAGGGATGGCGTTACAAAAATTTTTTACTAAGCAAACCCCAATTATTTTTCAGTTTTTTACCTACCCTAGAGACGGGGTTACCTTTTTTTGCAACACCCTGTATAAGATAATGCCCTTGCCAACATTATGGCTATACAGCGTTAATGTAGAAATCAATTACAACGCTGATACTTTAATTGAACACTCTTACTTACATAACTATAGCACAAGAGGTGCAAATAACATCAGAACAGTTAAGTATCGTTTGAGTAAATCACAAAAAAATCAATTGACTATAATATATTCAATGTCCTACCTAAAAATTTAAACCAATTTTCAATGAAAAAAGTTAAAGGAAGTCTGAAAAGATACCTTTTGAGATTTGCTTTTTACTCTGTTAATGAATACTTTGATCACTTCAAGGAAGTAACATAAACATGGATGTAGGTACTCCATGTACTCATGTTATGCGCACTCATGTATTTTCATCTCCTATTGTATTTTGTGTATGTTATATATTATCTTTTTTATCTATATATATATATATATATATATATATATATATATATATTATATATATATATATATATATATATATAGGGGAGACCGGGGAGAGTTCGGACACATAGAGACATCGGACACATTTGAATTTCGCACATTTTTGAAGATGCACTGTTGTCATTTGGTAAACACAACCTTATTTGTACATAATTATAGGTTATGTATTGACAGCTGTGATTTCGGTCGTAGTCACAGAGTTATCTATTGTGAAGTGTTTTGTCGAGTTTTGTTCTAAAAATATCGGTGCAATCCAGAAGATATATTTTAAAATACATAGACTTACCACGTATAAAACTTTGGTGCTGTAATCTACTATACTTATTTCATTAATTTGCGTTTATGTTGTTGCAATATTTAGGTAAGTTTTTTTATAAACCCATTGTATTACCAATGTTTGCATTAGGGGAGAGTTCGGACACAGTGTCCGAACTCTCCCCTGTGTGTCCGAAGTCTCCCCTGATCTGTAGTTATTCTATTTTTCTCTTACAGCTCATAATGCCCCGTACATATACAAGGGTAACAGAACGACAATTTTCTGCAGACACTATGAAAAATGCCACATCAGAGGTGCTTGACGGCAAATTGAGCATTCGGAATAGCGGCAAAACCTACGGCGTTCCTAAATCTAGTCTTCTAGATTACAGAAAGAAAGCTAGAGCTGTGGGTATAGACAACGTAACATTCTCTCCAAATTTCAAGCAATCTCAAGTGTTTACCGATATAATGGAAAAAATGCTTGAAAAATATTTATTAGATTGTTCTTCCATGTTTCATGGACTAACGCCTAAAGCTGCAAGACGTTTAGCTTTTGAATTTACCAAGAAAAACCATGTTAAAATGCCTACTACATGGAGCGAAAATGAAGAAGCTGGAACAGACTGGTTTTCAGGTTTCATGAAACGTCATCCTGTACTATCTATTAGAACACCTGAAGCCACTAGTCTCGCTAGAATGACGAGTTTTAACAAAGTTACTGTTGAGACGTTTCAAAATAAATTAGAAGAAGTTTTACGTCGTCATTCTTTTGGATCTTCAGCGATTTTCAATTTAGATGAAGTGAGTCAATTAACAATTTTGTTTAGTTATTTTGATAATTAATATCACTTATTTTTTAGACTGGGGTTACTACAGTTCAGCGTGTACCTAAAATAATTGGAAGAAAAGGTCAACATCAAATAGGGCAGGTGACCTCACGTGAACGTGGAGAATTAGTTACACAAGTGGGCATAATTTCTGCTGATGGAAAAGCATTGCCTCCTATATGGGTATTCCCACGGCAACGTTTTGATGAAAACCGCATGATGAAAGGGGTTCCTCAAGTTGCTTTAGGATTAGTATCTCCTTCAGGATGGATGACAAGTGATAATTTTTTGAAAGTACTTAAACATGTTGTCAAAAATACACTCTGCTCTGATACTAATAAAATTTTACTAATCATGGATAACCACGAGTCCCATCTCTCAGTGGAGGGACTTGATTACTGCAAAGAAAATGGAATTACTGTTTTGACACTACCACCTCATACTTCTAATAAGTTACAACCTTTGGACCGAACAGTGTTTGGTCCTTTCAAAAAGTTTTTTAATGATGGTGCTAATTCCTGGATGTTGTCTAATCCTGGTCAGACACTTTCTATATATGACTTGCCTGCTATTTGTTCTTCTGCTTGGGACAGAGCTGCCAATCCAGTTAATATTAAAAGTGGTTTCAAGTGTACAGGTATTTGGCCTTTTGACAGGAATATATTCGGAGAAGAAGAGTTCTTATCTTCTTACGTGACAGATAGACCAATGCCTACTACAGAACCGGAACTCGGAAAAAGAGATTTTGATAGCTTGTCCAAACCGGGGCCAAGCAAAGTTTTAGTTTCTCCGAGTCACTCAACTTCTCCAAACATCATTTCTCCAGAAATGGTTAGACCGTTTCCCAAGGCGCCAGAACGTAAAACATCAAATAGAGGCAGGCCTAAGGGCAAATGTATCATTGCCACGGATACTCCAGAAAAAGACGAAATTGCCAACAGGAAACTAAAACGATATGTTACAAGGAAAGTAAATCCTAAAAAAGACAGAAAGTCACTAAAAAAATTGTTGAAACATCTTCTTCTTCTTCCTCTGAAGACATAATGAGCAATGAAGAATCCTCTGACTTCATAGAGCAAGATGACGAAGTGGATACAGAAGAAACAAATATTGCAAATGGTCAGTTTATAATTGCCAGAGTTTATGGAAAAACACCAGCTACATTTCGGCACTATGTTGCAGAAATTCAGGAAAAACAGATAAAAGGATACGACGTAAAATTTTTATAAAAAACATGCCACTTCTAATCGGTTTATCTCCACTGAAGAAGATGCTTTTGTTATATTTGAAGACATAAAATGTATTTTACCGAAGCCCTTGAAAGATACACGTCAAAGATATGAAAATATGATCTATTTTAATACAGATTTAGAAGATTATTCATTGCATTAATTTTTTAATATCTAAACATGTCTATTTTTTTTAAATACATTTTTATAAGTAACATATGTTGTACTGTCCGAAGTCTCCCAGTACTGTCCGAAGTCTCCCAGTTCCTAGTCCGAAGTCTCCCCGTTTCTGGGGACATCGGACAAATGACCCCCTGCAATATTTTTTTATTTTTGTTGTTAATTTATTGATTTGATATATTCTGCTCTTGATTGGTTATGCCTGAACCTTGGAAGCTTAAGTTAACTACTTTAAAAGGTAAATATATATAATTAATTTTTAAAAATGGTCCGAACTCTCCCCGGTCTCCCCTATATATAATTGACTTGCTACAAAGAAATGTAAAATTTGTAAACGTAGTTAAAATAAGTTAGTTCTAGTTATAAATTTAAAATAAGTTTATTTTTCACGTTTCAATTTTCACTTCTTAAATTGTTCTTAAAGTAGAAACATGAATTTATAAAAACTATTATAAATAATTTATAAAAAAAAACAAAAAACAAATACTAAATTCTGAAGTGGAAATCGAAAACTCAAAAATAAACTTATATTGTGGCTTATTTCCAACAAAAATAGAAATAACATCAAGATACCACAAAAAAATAGCTTCAAATCATAATCTTTTACTTACCTATTGCTGGTCTCACAATACCAAGTGGAAGACCTTTTCCCACTTGTTTGACAACATCTTCAGCAATCTGTTTAGTGTATGTATAAGTGTTAGGGTACTTGTCAAGCATACTAAAAAACAAAATTATGTTTAAGAATGGTATTTTATTAAATAATTGTCATATGTTCAATAGAAAAATTGACTATTCTTATGTAGTCTGTAGTATACATATCTATTGTTACGTAAAAATTAGTCATATTAAAATAAACCTGTAAACATGTTGGTTATTTACTAAATATGTTGTAGAATGGACGAGATCTTTCGATCAGTTGGCAGACCTGAAACGACCGTTCGAAGTTTCCAGAGAAACCGGTCGAGTGGTGACCCGGCCTAGTATTATCAGAGGGATTCTCCTGAACTCTCGAATAGCTGTATTTTTATATATAATAACGGAGCTTTTATTGAAGAGGTCAGTCACCCCTCCCCCTCCCCCTCCGTTTGATGGACAGAATTCAACAAAAAGCCCAGAGTGAGAAGAAACTTCAAATCATACCACACACACAAGGAAGACAGTTCGTAGCTCAAATCACCCAGATTATCGCACATCGCCTCGTTCACAGTGGGACCAGCAGCTCAACTTGGAGACAATCTGTATTGTGGTATCGTATAATATTTATATATTTTCCTTATTATAATATAGATTATACACTAATTATGATTTTTTGTCCACAGGTCTCCTACAAAAAAAATTACAAAAAACCGGCTTCGGCCACCAAAAAAATCAAAAAAATACCCCCTTGAGCACCAAGTCGCCGAACTGAGCCGGGACTCAGAGCGGAGACTTGAGGCCCAAGTAAGCAATTTTAGTTCGCGGATAAGCCACATTAAGATAAACAGGAATATAGCGGAGATGCGCTGTCCTGAGTTTTTGCATTCGGTTAGGAAACCATGTTGGGGTTCTATTACCCAGGGCCTCCACATGAAGAGCACTTGGCTGATTCTTGTGCCTCTATAGCGAATCAGATTGCTATAGGGGGGAAAGGGATGGTCTAGAGCATTGGAGCACGGTGGGGTGACTCCTGTTTTTACTCGAGTTAACACACCTTGCTCCAATGAATTGTTACACCCGATCGTACTACCTGGGTGAACATTTCTCATAGGCTGAGTTCAATCAAATTGCTTGCTTGCAGAGGTCAGTCAAAATGTCAGTCTCGCGTTAAAATGTAACGAACGTATAAATTATTTAAGTGTAAAATAAATTAGTAGGAAATAAAGATTTTTGATAAATTATCGTGAGTTTTAATAAATTAGAATAAAGACAATAAATTAGAACTATAATAAAAATATAACACTATTAAAGAAAATTTACAAAATTGTTTAGAACATAGTAAATAGTAAATGCTATCAGTAGATAATAAGACATTTCAGGACACTTTAACCTTTGACCTCTGACGTCACGCCGCTCAGCTCCGCTCTTTATATAGTCACGCCAACACGTCCCGGCCGCTTGGTCATTTTTGTAGTTCTGGTATAAACCGTTGGTTTTTTTAATCCGAATACAAAATCGATATAAGCGGAATTTTAGACACAAGAAAAAATGGTAAAGAAAAGGTAAAATACCCAAATTACATATTGGTATACAGCGGGAAAGAAAAAGAAGAATGTATAAGCTCAGAAGTTGGGATACTCATCCTCAAGAAATTTAAAAAAGTAGAGATGTTGTACAATATAATAATTAAAATCCACAAGGAAAAAAATTCCTGTAGCTGGCTGTATACCACGTATCACAAAAAAGAGGTTAGTCTTCGTAAATGGGTATATTTATTTAAAAAACCCTTAAAAGGGCTACATCAATAAAACAAACGTTTTCGGACCACACAGTCCATCATCAGGTTTTAAAATCGAAAAATGCTAGGTCACAATGCCTGAGCCAACAAAATACTAAAGTAATTTGTGTTGTAAAATAACTGTGATGTTCAGTATTAAATTAAATTTGGCTAGAGGTAACACGTGGCTGAAGCGAGTTCCAGAGCCGGTGAGAGAGAACCTCTACACGCGGAGAACAGCTGGGCTCTGGAACTCGCTTCAGCCATGTGTTACCTCTAGCCAAATTTAATTTAATACTGAACATCACAGTTATTTTACAACACAATGTATAATCTTTTATAACTAAATGTAATTTAAAGGGTTTTTACCCTAGTATTTTGGTGGCTCAGGCATTGTGACCTAGCATTTTTCGATTTTAAAACCTGATGATGGACTGTGTGGTCCGAAAACGTTTGTTTTATTGATGTAGCCCTTTTAAGGGTTTTTTAAATAAATATACCCATTTACGAAGACTTACCTCTTTTTTTTAATATAATAATTAACCACAGAATACTCAAAATGACACTTAAAATGGATAATAGTAAAATATATTTAATATCAGTATATGTTTTACATTTAATATCAGTTTATAATGAAAAACGCAAGAGAATGCAGCGATTAGCGTACCATTAGCTTGATGTCTCTTGTGCTAAAGTTACTACAAAAGTCATCCATACCTGAATCTATCACAAACTGGATGTAGACGTTAGGCCCAGGAATGCGTGAAGCTCTTTTTCACTTAATATAATTATACAAAGATGCCTGGACATCATTCAAGATGTATAGGCATATTAAATTTATACTATAAACAGCAAGTAAAAGTATGTGTTAACGAACAGCTGTCAGAATAAATTGAAATTAGACGTGGGGTGAGACAGGGATGAGTATTGTGATTTCGTGATCTTAATATTGTTCTGAAGCTATTTTCTTGTGTCATTTTAAATTAGTTTATATTTAACTGAGAATGAGTCACAATTAAAGATAAAAATACGTTTATTGACGTTTCAATTTCCACTTCGGAAATCGTTCTCAAAATACAAATAGTAAATTAAACAAATTTTGTTTTTTGTTACATAGTGAAAAATTCTTCTAATAATTTAATTTTATTTGACTTATTTATATTGACAATTCAGACATACATTATGCATTTTAAAGTAGACGACTTTAAAATGATATTGCCAATATTGTTGAGTTGCGCTCCTGGGACGACTTTACTTATAAGATAGTTCATTCGATTACATAAAATCGACTTTAACTTGAGAATATCCGTCAGAAAAAAATCATAGCATGTAATTCGTCTTTAAACAGACAAACACATGACATGATGACAGTAAAATTCTCCTGTTAGTGATTCCATAGTAAATTATGAGGAAAAAAACCAGGAAAAAAAACCTCATAATACTATCCCGACATGGTAAGTATTTGTTCGTGCATTTAATTTACCTTCAATAAACACCAAAATTCTGATTATATATGTTTCGTTATTTAAAAAACATAAATAATGTATCCTCTATATGTTACTGACTTACTTATACTGGTATTTTCTTACTAATAACTTCCTCTTTCAATATTGGTAACCAGATCCTACTACATTCTGTCGAGGAATTTGTGACACAATTGGCCTCATTTAGCATAATTAGAGCCGCTCCTTGATTTTTCTTTTTGGAAGAGACTCTAGACTTTTGAAATAAAGTCTAGAATGTTCGGACTTCTTTTGGACGTCTTGTAGTAGTGGAGTATACTTGTATGATCTTTAGGATATATCTTGCGATTATTTTGATATTTAAGTAGACCACCCTTGTTGGGATTTGGTTTATTGACACAATTCTGTTGGTAATTCTTTCGAGTCTTCTTTTTCTTTGTAGTACCATAAATGATCTAATAGAAGTATGAAAAGACTGTTCCCCTTTTTGCTTACTTCACTGATAACCACAATATCCCAATTCACTTTTGAGAGTTCTTCCTCTATTTCTTCGAACCTTTGCAGTCTTCGAGTGACCGAGCATTATATGCGGCGATGTTGAGGTTTATCTTTTTGACAGACTTTATTGAGGGTTGGTTTACAGTGGTCAGGTTTTTTGTATTTAAACACCGTGCTTTTCTTGGATGTTGATGAATATTCATATTTATTTCTACGATTAGCTGAAGACTATTGATCAATTCCTGTAGAGCCCTGTGTAGAGAAGTAAGGCTGATATTTAATGGGATTTCGCCCAGTGTTCCAAGAGCATCGTTGGCGGAGATCATTTGGTTTTTGAGCACGATAACTTGCACCGTTAATCGATAAATTTATATAAAAAAATAGACAACTTTATTAAAGACACTAATACAACAACAAATTGTACATATTAAACAAAATCAACATAGTATGATAAATAATATAAAAGAGAAATAACTGAATTTGAAGTAGATAAATATACAAAATGGGACCGTGCAAGTTCGGAACAGCGACACCTGGTGTCGTAAATCAGCAAAATTTACTGCGCTTTCATGTTAGATCGAGGTTACCGGATAACTGTCATGGACGTAGCCCCAAAAGAGAATAAGAAGAAAAGGTAAGATTGAGGTTATGTCAGTATGTTATTAAAAGGTAAACGTTGTATGTAGTGTAAAATACAAATAAATATATTATTAAATTACAGCATTACTGTTAATATGGATGCAATAATAAAAACTAGATTTGAAAAAGTAAATCACCAAATAACTTTTCAACCAAGCACTGAGTCAGAGGAAAAGCTTTAGTAGTGGCAAATGTCAAAAAAATGGAAGAATTATGTGGAAGAATTAAGAAAAATAAATTACCATAAACAATGCTAATGCATAAATGCATAAATTAGCAGGTTAAGCACATGATATCATCATATTGGTTTGAACAATTAATTCTTTCCCTGTAAACTTTTGGACAGCGAATATATCTTAATGCATCTTCAGAAAAACTTGATGCATTTTTGTAAACTTCAAAAAAATGAAATTTAAACATTAAACTTGATTTTTGGGTTAAAATAAACTCTAAGTGAGTGTTATGAAACTAAAATTTACACTTAAAAGTAAACTTTTGATTATTATTTATTTCAAACTGACTTTAAAATCGAGCGCAAGAATAATGCATAATTTGGGTTATGTTACTTATGGTTTTTTATGATATAAATCCACTTTTCTCTTTGTAGTAATTTGTGCTTCGAAGTTGGAAACAAATAAAACTTAAATTCACAATTTTTTGTTGTATTTTACAATTTATAACACAGCATTTCCCAAATCCCATTTTCTTTAGTGACAGAAGGTGTAAATAAACAAACGAATATGAAATATGACAATTGACAACATAAATTTATGAAATCTATGAAATGTGCAGTAAAAAATGTTAGATTTCTTCGCTACTCGCGCACGATCGTTTCTCGTATCACATCCAAGTACTTGCACGTCGCCAATATTAGATAATGCGGTCTATGCAGTAACTAGAAACGTACACCCTATAATATAATGCCAAATAATAATACATAAATAAGTAAAAATATACGGTAAAAGCAAAATAAAATAAAATTGGATTTTTGGGATACCTTGCTTGAGAGTTGGGTGCTGTTAGTAACAAAACATGTTAGTCCTAAACGTGTTAAACCGATCAACTCTCGCCCTTCAAGAACTAACCTGTTTCACAATATTCCCGGTTTTATTTTATGATTAACAAACCCAGAGACTACAATTTATTATAGAATACAATGTTCACCTACATATACTTGTCCATTCTTAGCTTGAATCATAACAATGATTAAATTGTCCTCTACAGTATTTAGTTCCCATCTTATAATCGCTCTAAATAGTAATAGTATGTTAAATAATGTTCTTTACAATTGTTAGTCAATAATTAAAATTTGATGTGAAAATAAAAATTTTTTTATGGCAATTGTCTCATTGGAATTGACTTATACTAAACATTTGCCGCGGAGTAATATCCGCATAGTAAAATGTATACTTACATTGGAGTTAAATTATCCATCATTTTATCTGACAAAGTATCTGTCATCACTAGCAGTTTTTTGTAATCCAAAGCTGGAGGATAAAACTTTTCGTCGATCACTTTTTCTGGGCAATTCGCATACGCCGTGGAAACGTGTATGTAGCTTTTAAGTTTTGGCATTTGTTGCGCAAGTTTCAACAACTCTTCTGTAGCTCGTACATTAATGGCAACTGCCGTCTTCATTTTTTCGTCAAAACGAACTGTAGCTGCAGCATGAAATACTATGTTAATCTGAAAAATATAGCAGTTAATATAAAGTATAATACGATGAATTATTTAAATGACTTCGCAATTTCTCTTGTGTCAAATATTTAACTACTTGCTACTATTATTTTTGAGTAACATAAGATTTTAAATTTAAATAGGGTTGTATTAATTATTTGACACATTTCTTCTTTTCTTTTAACCCAGTCGACTCCTTGAGTTTAGTTCATTACAACCACTATAATTTCATTGTTTTATTGCTCCCATGAATTATATGCATTTATCTCACCAGAGTTATGGGAGTTATAGTGGGTATATCAATTTATACCTATTAGTAACTCGTAATAGTTTCTAAGCAGCTTAATTCGCAACTTTTGGTCCTAACGAGTCGGATTTGAGCTTATCGTGTGAAAAAAGTGAGTAAAAGTTTTTTAACTTTTTTTTGTACGGTTAAGAAGATATGCATGTAAGATAAGAAGATAGAGATCATGAAAAATTAGACGGACAGAAGTAGTTTAGAGGTATGTCCAAGAAATTTAGATGAGAAATAGCAAGTAGACGATCGATAAAAGTGGAAAATTCAACAAAAAATTTAAAAGGTAAGTTTTTAAATCAGTAATTATTAGAAAATTATATAAAAACACCTACCTCTTTCATTAAAGTATTTCTATCTTGTATTGATAAGCCAAGATCAGGTAATGAACAATCTCCAGCAACACCAATAATCTTGTGCATAAACTTTGGACATGCAACTTTAATTTTGTCAAAAAGAACGTCTTCAAAAATTTCGTCTACTCTCGTTGTTACATTTTTGCCCTTCTTGTTTCTCACAAGGACGTAGATGCTGTTGAGCTCATTGCAGGACCGTAGGAGTTTTTCCAAAAGAAGTTTGCCCAGAAAACCTGTTCCTCCAGTAACAAAAATGTTTGTGTTCTTATAAAATTCTTGAATTTGGGTAAGTGATTTATTTTCTGATCCTTGGATTTGTATTGTTTCATGGTCGAAATCATTAAATTTTAATGGATCTATAACAAAAAAAAATAAAAGATTATAGAAATTAAAATTTAAAAGTAAGAAAGTAAATAAAAGTGAGCTTGGGAAAATGTTCGTATTTTTATTTTTGGCTAAGATACTATCGATATTTAATAGCAGCGCACTCTGGGGCGCAAGATCGGCAAGTTAATATAATATACTATATCTTCATTTTTAAAGATCTTAATACAATTTTTCATGCAATTCTTATCAATCATCATGAAGTAGATCCTTTTTATTCTATTTGCTTCTCTTCCGAAAGACAATCTTTAGTTGTTGTTTAGGCCTAAGAAAAGTGTGGGGGGTGTACTGAAGGTACTAAAAGAACTCTGTAGACTGATCACGAAACTCTAAAAAGGCTGCTAAGCCTAAAATTTCTGACAGAAAGGCTGTTATTCTACTGAGGCCAAAACGATACCGTATTGGTCTTTTTTGTAATTTAAACACAACGTCAGATTGGGCAGCTGTACTAGAACCCCAAAAAGGAAAGCTATATCGAAGATGAGACTCGAACGAAGAAAAGTAGGTTATTTTAGAAGATGCTAAATTTATTTTCTTCGAAATAGATCTTATTGCATAGCAGACTGAGATCTAAAAGATTTAATCAAGATATCCACCAAGTTGTAAAATCTAAGAATTTTATATCTCTGATAACCCCATATCTAAAACTCATGGCTGAAACATGGCATGAATCGCGGATGAATTATGACAACGCGTAAGATAGGAAAAATAAATATGCTGATCGACGTTTGAAGGAACCCAGTCTATTCAAAAAAGAAGATTTGGTAAGGGCTAAAACAACCGCTCAAAGTAACAGCTCGAAAGATAGCTAAATTCTACCCTAAAAGAGATGGACCCTATAGAATCAAGCGAGTAGTATCACCTGGTTACGAACTTTGTGGAAGGGACACTCCTACTGCTCTTGGTGTTTTCAACAATAATCCTGTAGTGCCAAGACGAAGACGAGTACGCCCCAGCTTCTGCGTGAACCTTCTCTAACGAAGTCGATGCCAGGGGAAAGACTGAAACGAATCATAATCCTTATGGTAACGCGGTCATAGTATAAGGGATGAACTAGCCATGTGCCTCTAGCAGATATTAAGTGGTCTAATGTGCTTGTGTGATCCAAGAAGTCTTTGTTACCTGATACCCAAACTTAGATAAAATACATACAGTTTTAGTCGAGTTAGTTTTAAGATTGGACTCATGCTATAACCTTCAATAAACACACATATTTATACATGTTTATAAATTCCTTGTAAAATCTTCTAAGAAAAAGATACTATTATGTCTCTTTTTTGTTACCTTTTGTAACGGTTTGATCCTATAATATACCATTTATTTATGACTCTTCTCCCAGATTTATTTATTTGCTTAATCCAGGAAATGCAGTGTCCTCACTGAGATTTCTTGTTACAAATATGTGTATTCCATACAAACTCTTATATCCTATTAATTTTTTTGTAATACCAATTATTATTGTTGTCCTAAATCCGTCTTGTCTCCATTTATCTCGAATCCAATTCCTTGTATATCAACTTCATTGTCATATAATAATAATATGAAATTTATTAGTATAATACGATACCAATTACAATTAAATCCATTCAATTCTCAGATATGTAAATTTATTTAAATAGCTAATGATAAAGTATCAAATATATTGATGGAAACTTATGATTAAAGCTCGGATTATAGGCAAAATGCCTTTTTTGCCTATTTTGCCTATTATAATTGTTTTTTATTTTATTGTTTTTTATTGCCAGGCTATAGAGCAGTCTCGGAGGTAGAGTGATAGTGGGACCTAAAAATCCCTGAATGCAAGGAGTAGACCAAGCTACCTTTACAAACGACAAAGGAAAGAATATGTTTTTTGGCAACTTATGAGACTAAAACTTTGATGGGGGACGAAAAACTTGTGGAACTTGAAAACGAGCTGAAGCATACATAGGGATATACTTATATCCCTATATCTATGAAGAGTATCCAAAGTACAACGGAAAGTACAGCTATATCTATGAAGAGTATCCAAAGTACAGCGAAAAGGTGAAGAACAAATGGTTCTTTTGTCGGGAAACATATTGAATTATAAAAGAGAGTCTTCTAATAGTGGTGTCGAATTTATGGTAAATAGAAAACATACAAAGAATATACTCACAATTAAAAGCATAAGTGAAAGAGATATATCTTATCTACAAAGTAAACGAAAAAATTCAATTAGAGATCATCCAGGTATACGCAGCTTCCAGTGCCCATACAGACGAAGAAGTTGAATAGTTCTACGATGACATTAACACTGCCATAAAAGAAGTAACCACCAATACTATACTGATGGGAGACCTAAACGCCAAAATTGAAGACATTGAAAAACTGTCAATAGTAATAAAAATATATTTTGTGACGATTTCAAAAACACAACTTTTGATTTTTAATTATTCAGTAAGGCACTAGCTATATTACCTCTAGAATATTTATTGTGCATTTAATTTATATTAAATGTGAAAAAACTGTTAAAAAAATTAATAAAACAAATTAATAACACTGACCTGGTATTGTCATTTTGATGAGATAATCTGTTCGAACAAAAGTAACTTACAACCGTTCACAAATTTACTTAAATTGATATTTCCCCACTATATTATCCCTAAAGCCGCACTGACTAAGTAATGCAACTATTGAATAAAGAGTTGAGCTTGTCACAACGTACCAACCCGCTTGTTTTTTCTCACTGAACAGTGAAAAACTAAAGCAAATAAATGATTTGTTACTATTTAAAAGTCAATCTCAAGGTGAAAATATACCATCACAGTACCTGTATTTGAGGAAACTTATGAGTGATAAAACTAATAGGATTATGCAAGCAATTAATTAGTGATGATAATTTCAAATTTATTTTTTATATTCACTTTATGTACAGTGCTTTTCAGCTAAAAGTATTTCCTTATTTAACTTTCGAACTTCTAATTTTATGAAAGAGCGCAGAAACACGTCAATTAATATTTGAAGAGGAGCCATTGCTTAAAGTGATTAGTTTATGAGAAAAACTAATACAAAAGCAAGAAAACTAGATTGAAAAATATTTTTTAACAATATTATTACAAACATTTAAAATGATCATTTCACTGCCAAAAATTTGTACAATAATTGTTCAAAATGACTGTCATTCCCTTCCATATTAAATTTTAATATTCTTTCCTGACATTACTTAACAGGTCTGCATTTAATTGTCGACATTCATCCTCAATTCGTTGTCGTAAATCATCCAGAGATTCTGGTTTATTAGTTTAAATTTTTGTTTTTAAATACCCCCATAGGAAGAAGTCTAAAGGTATTAAATCCGGTGACCTAGGTGGCCAATCTATCATATATCCTCTTCTACCTATCCAACGAGAAAGGTTATTATCATTTTCTACTATTGTTCTAATACGATCAACCACTTCCCTAAGTAACTTAAGATATGATGCCCCATTTAAGTTTCCAGTGATAAAGAAGGGTCCAATAATGTTATCACCTAGGATACCACACCCTACGTTTAACCTTTGAGGTTGCTGTGTCTGAAATTCACGCACAATATGTGGATTACTCTCAGCCCAGTATCGGCAATTATGTCTTTTCACCAAACTTCTTCTTTGTCAACCATATTCCATCCACTCCTGAATGTAGGTCTCTCCCAATTGCTTCCATTTTTCTCTATCTTGCGCCAATCTAATCCACTGTTTGCCTGCCACTGCTCTTATGTCATCTACCCATCTTTTTTGAGGTCTTCCCATTCTTCTTGTTGTCGTCCTTGGTCTTCATTCTAGAATTCTCCGTGTCCATCTGTTGTCATTATATCGGGCTACGTGACCTGCCCAGCGCCATTTCATTTTTGTAATTTCTTTCACAATATCCCTAATCTTCGTTCTACGTCTTATTTCGGTGTTTCTAATCTTGTCTCTTAGTGATATTCCAAGCATGATTCGTTCCATTGCTCTTTGCGTTGTTTCTAATTTTTTGGCAGATTTTTTGGTAAGTGCTACTGTCTCCAAGCCGTAGGTACAAACAGGTAGTATGCATGTGTTATACACCTTTTTCTTTAAGTTTATAGGAATGGAGGTGTTTTTCAAGATATGTGCTAGTTTGCCGAAAGCGCCCCAAGCCAGTTGTGTTCTTCTTTTAATTTCAGCATCTTGATTTGGTTTTCCTAGTTTGATAACATGACCTAGATATACATAATGTTCCACATTTTCTATGGTATAATTTTGTATTGTTATATTTGTCTGGTCTCGGCTCAGTATTTTTGTTTTGCTGTAATTCATTTTTAAGCCTACCGCTTCTGAAACTGCATTTAATTGTTGTAACATATCATTTAGTTCTTGGATATTACGGGCTATTAAAACTATGTCATCTGCAAATCTCAAGTGGTTTAAGTATGATCCGTCGACGTTGATACCCTTATTGTTCCATTCCAGTTTCTTAAAAATATCTTCTAGAGCAAGGGTAAATAGTTTGGGAGAGATGGTGTCTCCTTGTCTTACTCCCCGTTGTAGTCTTATGGGATTAGTTTTTGTGCTTTCGTCCAGCTTTATATGCATGGTGGCATTATATGTTTACATGTTAAAACATATATGAAAATTCACCAAACGATTTAATGAAAATGACCATTCATCCGGAAAGAAAATATTGCTTAACAATTGTGGATTGTTAAGGATCATTAATTCGGAAATTTCAAGACAATTTGAGACGACATTCTGCTTTATTTAACTCTTGCACCAATTTAATTTTTTATGGATGGAACTTAAATTTATGGAAGATTCAGAAGGCTGTACACCGATTACTCTGCTTGTTAACAGCTTAAAGTATGCTTGGAATACTTTGATCATGTCACCTGTTCATCCAAGTACACTTGTATCAGGTTATATCCAAGTTAAGTAGGATACTGGACAACTTCTTTGGATCCAAGTAGTATGGTGTTGTAAAAATAAAAAAATGGCGTCGGTGTCGAAAAATCAAAA